ACCGCTTTCAGTTAGATACAGTTAGCTCGAGTAAACATGATACATGATACCGTCATTTTTTTTTTTTTTTTTTTTTTTCATAGTACATTTATGATTATTTTTGTAGAGGAAATCTAAAAAAAAAATCCTTCATGTCACTAAAGGAAGATCACAGGCGAGATAAGGCTCGCGTAAGACCCCCCCCCTACTCACCCCCACCAGGACGGGGCGAACACGCTCGGGCGCCTCCAATGTCCTGCGATCCCCACGGCCTTTGTAAACGTTTCTCGGGGTTGGGGATGTTATGCTTCAACGGGAGAGGACGTAAGGGTGACTGAAGCCTGTCAGAACATGTAGTTTCAAACCTTAAGTGCGACGATTGTGTTTCCTGGATGGGTGACACTCGTTTCGTGCGCCCCCCCCCTCTCCCTCTCCCTCCCAATTCCAGAGGCGGGAGGAGGACATTGTGTCGATGGTGTGCCTCCCTCATTCCAATCCGGCGGAGCATTGTGTCTGCGGCTTCCATCATGTTTCATTTCGGAGTCCTGAAATAAGGAGATAATAGGAAGCTAGCTAAGGTGTGTCATTTCCTTTCCCTGTCCTTATATGCCCTCTTTTGGATGGGGAAGAATCGTGAGGGACGAAGTAGAGTATGAGGGAGAGGGATGTGCTTCCGTTTGGCGGCAATTAAACTTCATTCCACTTACGGTAGAGAGCGTTTCCGGCCGCGGTAGGAACATGATTTTCCGGCGCGCGAACCATCGGCGATTGTGTCAATTTCCTTCCCTCGATGTGTCGTAATCGTACTGTACCTCGTGCTCAATCGAAATCGGAGGTCGTAAAATATGCAGATACAGTCGTGCTACTTACTAGAGTTTTGTACACTAATTTAACCCTTCAAGGTATGAGTATCGTTGTTTACCGTACAAGCGATTTGCCTGTAAACCGAAAGGATTGAGAGGAGGCCCACAAGCAGCAGTGCGGTGAGCGGGAGACGGTTACAATATAGTAATTAAAGACTTGGATGTACGATTATCAAGGTCGGTGCCCTACCATTATACCCTTGTTTGTGAGTGCTGACTGTCCTGCCCCCCCCCCCCCCGCATTACCCTTTTCCCCGACTAGCCTCGTGACCTGTAAGAGGCAGGACAGGATCATTCGCTTTGATGCTTTGTCCTGGGATATGAGACTCGCTGGGGACTCGCCCGCCCTTGGGAGTCCTGCTACACCTGTCTTGAGCTCCCCCTCAGATCCTCTTAGCAGGCAGCGAAGGGCGCAGGAGGCGGCGGCGGACGCGGAAAGGATGGGGGATCACCTGGGACTGCGCCCAAGTAGGAATCCCTCTCCCTCCTTGCGTTTATCGTCGCGCCGTTGATAGATCAGCATCGGCAAACATGCTAAACGTTCCAGTTGAGCTGCTGGCGGAGCGATAGAGTTGTATAGTTAGCGACAGAGATATTGGCTAGCGGCTACACGGTTCGCTCTATCGGGGTCGAGATTGGGTACCAGATAGTGTATTCTTTGGAAATGTTAGAAGAAGTTCCGAGGTCCGTCGAGGGCCAACGGATCCGTTTTCGGCGAAGGGGCAACGAGCCTTCGAGGAGGTCGAGTTCAAGAGGCGCCCTTGGCCGAGTCGGCTGCAGGGGCAACGCTGCTGCAGAGAGTGGCAGTAGGAAGTTTGGCGGCGGGAGAGAGGCGCCCCGGGCATCGTCCGAAACACGAGCCCGGGTGTCCGCCAGGCCGTGTCTACCTGCTCGCCTTAACTACTCTACACACGCTTCTCGTACGCGCATTTAGGAAATTTAAATAGTATGATTAATTGTGCACTTATTAGACCCTTTGCCGACGCGTCTGTGGACGAGCGAATCGTAATATAAAACAATTAACTAACGAGCCAACGACTTCAATGCAAAGTAAATGGCGAGTCGAGCGAAACGGAAATTCCAGTGTCAAACCCCTTTTCGCAACTACAAAACCAAAATCCAATACGACTGTTTAGCAATTTCGTCCCCCCTCGAGAGCTGACCATTGATGCCAGAGTTTGCGTTGATGTCAGATTCAGCCTCGTTGTCGATGTCGCCGAGCATTTTGCAGTTTACTACGAGCATGATCTTGTCGGCGGTAATTCAACACCGCGGTGGGTTGCCAGGATCCCTCTCCCGTTACAAGAGTCTATTTTACGTGCGGATGGATTTCTCACTCTTTTATCTTCACCGCTAAGTGACTCCTAAATTCTGCATCTCTCTTAAGTAGCTTTGCAGCTTTCGGCGGGGCAATTTATAACTTTCTTACGGATCTCACGGGGATGTCTCTAATATCAAAAAGAGAACGTGAGCTCTGCAAATGAGATTCCAAACGCGAAGAAACATCATTATAAAGTCTAGGAGTGAAAAAGTACGAGAATAGTTCCGAGCATATCGCATTTTCCACCGCAAGAGACAAGTGATCTTGCAGGATAAGCGCGCAGTGTCCTGCTTGAGCTGTGTCGCGAGAGGAGAGGTAATTATTCGCTGTGTGGGAGATGTCTGATCCCATCGGCCAGTGGAAGGGCACGGTCGGGGATTCGTGTCTGCCAATCGTCGACAGCCTTGCAAAGATGTAATTTTTTCTTCTACGTCGAGAACCGTTCGCGTGTAATTGATACCTTTATTGCTAGAATTCCTGCTCGTATGTTTATTTGTCCGTTGCTGTGGCATTAGTGAAATATAATTATACGCGTTTTAGTTGCCAAAAGCCGCAGCAGGAAGAAAACATTTGCACATCAAAAAAATATAAAAAATGTAACTGGTTTCTTTGTGTCGCTTAGTCTGTCCAGGGGAGGGAGGTGTTTCCCTAGTGTGTGTAGAGGGGAAGGGTTTCTCCCTGTGGGCGGTGCGACCACAGCATCTGCCTGTTGCTCACCCTTGTCTTCTACCCTGAAATGCCATCAGTGGCCATATCTCTAAAAGGTATATCTCTCTTGTCTCTCTTTTGTCGGATTATCCCATTCAACTTCCTTTGCCAGATGGTTGATTTTGGGTCAGACGTAAAGTTTGATTTTGTTTGTCCATTTTCGTTTTGTTTGCATCTCGGGGGTTTAGGGCGAAGTGCGGGAGGGTTGTGAGGGCGAGAGGCTGATGTGTTGTGATTCACCTAATTATGCGAGTTTGGCTCCGCCCCGCCGCGGGAACACGATCCTAAATCCTCGCTTACAGGGAAGGATTAGCTAGGAACAGTATACGGCGAATTGAACCCTACCTCCGAGGGATTTACACCTGCCGAGTAAAAGGATTCTGTCCTGCGCAAGGGATTCCGAAGCGGTTGGAAGCCTCCTCGGGATTACCGTTCTTCTTCCCGCAGAGGACGCGACGGCGGGGAAATGGCGTGCCCTGCTTTCCTCTCCTTCCTCTCCTTCGCCCTCCACCTGTCCTCAGGACTTCCCGCTTTCACCCCCTCCTGCTCTGACGTCCTCTGTAACTTGAGAGATCTTCCTCGCCCTCTTCTCCTTTTGCTTGTCCTTCTCTTGTGTTTCTCCTTCGCCCTTTCGCCCGTCTTATTCCATCTCCTTCGTCTCTTCGTGCTCCTCCCCCGCGCGGCATCGAAAACGGCTTCTCTCCGCCTCGATTCCATTAGGGACCAAAAAGGGCGAATCTCGCACGATCTAAGCAAGGTTTGTTGACATCTTCGTACCAACTGATGTCCAGCTGGTCCGATGTTCACGTGACAGATTTTTAGATTTCCCGCCGATGTGGCCGCATCCCACATAAAGACGTCAAATTTGATTTTGACCCAAGATAACCGCCAAGACAAACTGCCTGCCAACCACACATTTACGGCTCGAGTTAAACAATCCGTAAATTTCTGTCCATAAGGAGGGTGGGAATAATTCAAACTGTCTTTCAGCAGATTACACGTCATCAGGCGAGAACTAGAACCGAAACCGAGACAAAGTACAGGCTTTTGGACTCCTCCGCCCATAGTCAGTGTCCAGCTGACGGCAGGGCGCCCTCTGCTATCATTACCGCATTATCTGGACCTGGGCAAAGGGGCGGGGGAGGGCAGGGGAAGGGGGGCGAAGGACTGCACTCTGCCTGGCGCCTCGTCGCTCCCCGGCGTGCAGTTGCGCGCCTCCTGTTTACCGGGAAACGTTCGCTCTCGGCTCAACGAGACAATTGTTTATGAATGCTCAGCTCATGGGCGTCCTTGAAAGAGCTGATTGTGCGGGCGCGTTGACGGGCGCAGATGGCAGATAGCACGTGTGAAGAAAGGTTGAAAATTGACGCCTGGATAACAACCCTCCCCATCCTCCTCCCCTCCCTCCCCCTCAGCACACGCACACACACCTCCCTCTCCGCCTTCGCTTCACGCCGCGTTTCAACATTGTTCTCCGCTCGAGGTTCATTGTTTTCCAAGGTCTCAGGGTTAACGTGCGCTGCCTTTTGCGCTTTGCACTCCGCTCGGCGTGCCTTGTAGTTAAGCCTGCCCTATCGGCGAGGGGAAAGGTTTATATTTATGTAGTTGCAATTGTTGTTTGAATTTGGGGAGGAGTGGGCTTATTCGTGGGAAAATAGGTCAAATGATTATTCAAATCCTTTTATCAAACAAAGCTTTCACAGTTGCCGTAATATTGTTCTTTTCGGAACATCAAAATTGATAATACAATCTACGGGATATGTTTGCACATTTTCGCCATACTTTAGCATCAGTGTATCGACTCGTCTATATTTATAATAGATGTGTATGTATGTGTGTGAGAAAGAGAGAGAGAGTATACACACTGTTTATCGTACGGTACGCTGGTCCCCTCCTCCCCCCTCTGGGCTGGGGTAGGCTGGCCTGCCTCCCACACACCACAATGGTCGGGCCATTTATCACAATGTGTCTAAAACTGTGGGCATTGTGGTGTCTGGCCGCATCAGCGTTGCACTTCATCGTGGGAACCATTAGGCTGTGGCAGCCATCTCACTCCTCTGGAGTTATCGCAAGGTTCACATTGGATTGAGGTTATTTATTTTAATAGAAAATTGTACTTCGGCAAGTGTCCAGACCCACCGCCTCAATTGATTTTTTTTACTCCTGGGAAATCTAAGAAATACTCACTTACCAACTCTTAAAGTTTCGATGGCGAGGTATCTGTCTGTGCTGTCTCCTTGTCTCCCGACCCAAAATGCTGCCGACGTTGCACGTTATCTGTGGACAGTGGTTGAGCTGTGCATTCCTTACATCGCCTGTCCTTTTCTAACGCCGGGAGTGTGTCGGGTCTAGTCGGTCCTTCCCTCGCTCTCCCGCGCCTTCCATCAGTGTCCCTCCGTCTCACCGAAGTAATAACTCGGCATAATTAGCTGGGGCAGTTGAGTGCGATGGTCCGGTTCCGTCCTGCTTGACGCCGGCTGGAAACAAGGCTTTCCTCTGGCCCTTTTGGCTGGATACTAACGTGGACAAATCTTTGTGGAGTTGGGTACATTAGGGAGTACTGGTGAGACAGAGTGAGGTCGTGGCGCTGATGGTATCGGGCCCGGCACCCATTACCGGGACGCGCAGACACACGCCGCAAACCATACTCAAACGAAGGGCTCACCGCACTGGCCGAACTCTGCGGCTTTCGCGCGACGAAAAGACATTAAGCTTAACAAGTTTTTAAAGTTAGGAGTGCTTATTAGGATTGGTGTTGATTGGCGTTAAAGAAAAAGAAAACATTTACACCATGCATTAATGTTTAAGAAAGTTTAATGTGCATTTGTTAATGCTGCAGTTGGTTTGTATTTCGATTGATGACTAACGTGTTTATCTCTCCGCAGGTCCCTTGATTGACGACACCTGGTTCCTTGTGATCATCTCCTCTTGTGTGGCAGCCACTTTGCTCGGGATCATCTTGGCCATCGCCTTCCTCAAATACAGAGAGTAAGTATCTCATGCCTTTCGTCATCATCACTGATCTTTTGAAATAATTCTTCAAAGTGATACCTTTCACGCAAGCCTTCAAACGTATACATTTTTAATCTTTCTAAATGTGTCACTGTTACTTACTCATACGCTTTCGTAAAATTAGTTATTCGCGGTATCGATAAAGCACACAAGGTCAGCAGGCGTTAAGTAAGACTTTCCCAACCTTGATGAGTCCGAGCTGGCAGCGTCGCTCACTGCCAGAGAACCTTAGTGCCAGAATATCAGATCCTGCAGGTGCCCCAGGAGCCCCTCCCGAGAATTATCCCGGCGGGCGCACCTGGGCCGGAAAGAAGCTGCTCTGGGCGGGCATGACGGCGTGTCGATGACTGCGACACTCGCGCCTCAGCCTTTTGTCCAAATTTCAGCGGGCCCGACGCGCGATTAGATCGGAACGGAGCTGATCTGCCGACGCTTCATTACTCTCCGCTGTGATAAGTGGAGTGGCCTCTGATAGCTGGAACAGAACCGTAGATAAAAGCACCCCTTAATTAACGACCACCGCCCTCACGCCGGTCGGGCAGCGCTCGACTAATGAGTTGTGTAATGACCAGTTTGGGAGCTTAGTCCGCGCCCGTTCCTTGCGGCCGCCGTGGCCCCGGACCCCGCGCTCGTCAACTTCGTGTGAAGTTTTGCACTTGGAGGTTCAAGGCGGTATTACTGTAAGTAGATGTAGCCAGGAATTCACTGCCAGCAGATCGTAGAATACAACTAATATAATACTCTTCCCGTTCTAATGCGCGCCAACTAGAAGCGACATCTGAGAAATAAATGAAGTCTTTCTTGGCACTGAACAAAGCCCGTGAGATATAAACCAAGTGGGACGTTAGGCCTTTCAGGGCGTGTCGCCAAGTCCTCCCAGGAACGTTATCGGGTCTTATCGCTGAAGACTGTAGTGTTTGAAAACAGTGCTGGTCGAGGGTAACGCCGACAACACCCGGCGGCTCTGATACCGTCTGCCGCCCCCTCCCGCCGGACCCCACCCCCGCCCCGCCACCCTAGGCCACCCCTCACACCTTATCCGCCCCGACCTGCTCTGCTTATCAGCGATTGTTTTTTAGTCAATTTCTTTAATAACTTTTACATTTTTGGTATCTTGTTTGAAGGCTTGTTTTTTATATTTGTTTTCGTCGATAAAATTTATTGTTTTGCACTTCAATTTCCTGAAAAATAAATGAAGTGTTGACTGAGTTCGTCTTTAACCATGCATTCTTTTCTCTTCAGAGGGAAGCTGAAACCCTTGAGCGACGTGGCGCTGGCCAAGAAGGAGAAAGCTTTGGGTCTGGAGCGCTGCGAGGCCGTCCTCTACCCCGCCCCCGCCATCACGCCCACGCCTGTCCCGCAGCTCGACAACCGCACGTCACGGGCGCTATGGGCTGGCATCAAGCCTCTGGAGGGAAACCACTACACGGTCGACCACTGCCAGCCCATGGAGCAGAAGCCAGTGCGCCTGGACCTGCTCCCGCCGCACGACAACACCTACGACTACGCCGACTACAGCAGCGTGAGCTACGCCAGCGCCAGCTACACCACGCTCACCCCCCGCCTCGACGGGTCCAGCCCGCGGCCGCAGCCCGCCGCGAGCTTCGAGAACGTCGG